AGTTCTCACTATAAGTCATTACTGATTAAACAGTCGTGGTTGAATATTGCCTTCAGACACTTCTTCAGTTGGTGTACTTGTTAGCTTAAAGGAAGAAGTCATTAGGCAATATATCTCCTATTTGTCGCATTAATTATCAATTACTCATATGAAATTTAATTACTGATACGATTTTCTCCAGCTAGCTGTTAACATACTACAGCGATAATCCAATTATGTCATTGACCTCTATTCTCACTTTGGACTTAGTCTAGTATCTCCAAGTTACGCCTTCCAGTTTAGAATTTTTTATAGAGTTCAGAACATAGGATTAATGGATAATTGTTTCATCATTGAATTGAAAAATGGAGATGATCTTTAACGATCTTACGAATGAATGAATGTCAAAGTTATTTCTGTATACTTCATTTTATCACTGTACATCTTCTGATTTTCAGATTTCATTTCCATTTGACTATTATCAATCCATGGTGAAACGTATCCTTGAAGTTACTACTTTGTTATATATTCACTAGGTGGTAGAACTTAGTCAATGTTAAGTGATATATCATCCCATCGATTCGTATCCGTTGACGAGTTTATGTTGCACATTTGATGGACGTCATGCATAAATAATCTCATTTCTAAGATGTAGCACTTTATTCCTTTGAAAAAAAACCTGTTGTTATCTTCAGTACTCGAAATCACTAATATTATCTGTAAGGTAATCATTAGCTATGCTAATAATTTTCATTCTTCAGTAACTTCGGCTTAGTCATCATTTCGTGTGTTCTTTTAACTCTTGTGAAACAGAATCAGTTCAAGACCTTAAGCAGTAGGAATTTCAAAAGTTTTCACATTTTTTTGTTCAAAAATACTTGACTGAATAGCATCTATATGATTCAGTGTGTAATGGTTCAGTTTTCTTAAATCTCACTGAGAAATCAAACAGTGTAACAACCCCATAAAGCCGAAGCGGGCTAAGTGGATTTCAGCATTTGTCCATTTAACTTATAACGGAAGAAGAACAAAGATTCATCTTTCGGATGAATTTCTAAACCGATTTGGAAAAAACAAAGTTGTTTTCAAAGACACATTCAGTCAAACCAAACTAACTTTCGGAAAACTCAAATGCCATTCGCTAAGTCCTACAGAATATATTCATTAAAGTACTGCTGTTTTTCACACCGTTCAAGATCTACAACGAAACCTCCATCAGCTTTCTATGGATCATGCCATGGAGTTACAAAGAAACAGTATGATAATGGTGAGTCAGAGTTGGTGAAGAGCTCGAAAGAGACAGATAATCGTGAAAGACAGTTTTTCATTTATCCACAGAAATAGACAATATTACAAATGTGTATGCCTAATTCAGATTGATTTTCGATATTTTTATTATTGCTATTATTACACCCTTAGGTTCTGAGTGGAAAATAGTGCTTCAACAACACCTCTCCCCTTTGTTCCATTTTCTGCTATTCTCTTCAGCTGGCTGACCCCATGATTGCCCATAATCTCTCATTTCCTCCTCACATGATCTCCTCAATTTCACCCTCGCACCAACGACCCACTCATCGCTTCCTATTGGGATCCCACTCGAGTGTTGGCCTGCAAGGAGCGCTATGTCATTCAACAGCCTCTTCAACGTATTCCCGATCCATCTCTATTATCTTCTACATATTTGTTGAGCAATCGGCTCTTGGTTGGTTTGTTCCCAGTCAGAGTTTCTTGTTACTCATTCTTTCTGGCCAGATGGCCATTTGACCTTCAGTATGGAGCCAGCGAAGGCAGCTGTTGATAAAAGTCTGTAACCTGTTTAAAATCCTTTTCGTGACACGCCAAGTTTCTGATCCGTATAGAAGGACCGACTTGACATTGGTGTTGAAAATTCGAATCTTGTTCTTCATGCTACCTGAGTGCAGAATATTTCCAAACTGATTTCAGGTTGATGAAGGTGTATATTGCTTTTTCGATTCTTCCCAGGCTTTGACATTTTCATCCGTTCCACTTGTATTTGAAACGATGCTTCCTAGATAAGTGAAGGAAGTAACCTCTGCCAAATATCTCCCACTGATGGTGACTGGTGCTGGTTGTTGCTGCTGTTGGTTGGTTGATTATCTTCTTTTTGTTCACCTGGAGTCCTGTCTTCGCTGCCAGCCTCTTCTGGAACTACTTACTTGTACCATGTGAATAATCAGCCTCTATATTCGCATATGACTGTCAAATTTGTTTAGATAAATAAACAATAATATTATTATAAATACCTTGTGATAGTGATTCAACCGCTTATTTAATAACATACCAAGTAATGAGTGGAGGATTTAAAGGAGAAGTAATACCATCTATGTAAAATTCAACTTATTCACATTTGGTAACACCTATACTCAGAATTCTGCTTCGAGCTATAAAACAAATTTAAAAATTCAGAATTCTGCTTCATTTTTTTAATTATCACACCCAACAAACTCTTTTCAAATCAAGTTGACAAATGCTTCATTTTGTCTGAGTTCTTTACCTCATATTCTATATACGACCTAGTCGTGACGGACTCAAGGGATTTACCGCAGTTAAGTGATGCTTAGATATAAAAGTGAATACTTCTGATTTTATTGAAACGGTTAGTTCACACATCAGTGGGTATTCTAGATTAAAACAAGACAGATTGTTATGTAACAATACCTTCGCACTACGACTGTTCAAATTTCTTAGTAATAATCAAAATTATGAATCCGATTTCTCTGTATGTTCATAGAAAGTTTGTTACTCAATAAGCTAACGCACCCCTTCGACTGAGTAAAGTAACTTGCAAACTGAAACACTTTATTACATTTCCGAGTAGGTCATCCTCGGAAACTTGTCATGAAGCATATTTCAACACTTCGAAATATGTGGATTACATGTGAAACACCCGTGTTTTCGTCCATATCATGCAAACAACATTGTCAGTAATGACGTGTTTAACCGGATTAATTCTGTGGTAGGTACTATATCCCACTATGAATATTTCCACCGATGATTTAAAAACCCGAAAGTTTCATTTTTGTCATTATAAACATAAGTATAAATGGTAATAGCACATATTGTTGTTGAGTGTTACCTATTAAGACTAGTTCGCGTCAAAATTCCCTGTGTCCTTTAAGTTAACAGACAACTTTTACCAACATAACGTATTTGTTCTTGATTTATACTGTGAATCCCAGACGAATAATGCTCAGACTGTTATCTGTTCCATTCGAAGACTTTCTTTAGCATGAGTAATACAGTTACTTTTAATATTCACTCCTTACACAGGTGTCAAGGTACCTAGCAAAGAATTAAGGTATTAATGGTTGAAGGCATTTGCATGAAAGCCCTGGATCAAGGTTTTGTGCTTACAGGCACTTGTCAATAATGCGCATCTGCAACCTGGAAGGGATAAACATCCCCTCGGAGATGTGAACTTCCGTCACTCAGCGCTAGAGAAAGGCTTTCGAAAAAACCTAAGTCTATTTCGTCAAACTAGAATTGGTATTCTTGTAAAGTTCAGTTAGGAAATCAAATTTCTAGAGTTTCCAGGCCCTTGGAAGGTAAACTGTTCAATCCTAATCATCTATGAGTACCATTTTAGTTTAACTCCGAGGCAATATTTTTAATTATTATGATTTACGTCTGATGTCACACAAAATCGAAGACTTACAAGCGAAAACCGACAAACTGGTCGAAGAAGCAGCCGGTGAAGACAGGACTCCAGGTGAACATAGACAAGACAGAGGTTATGAAAATAACCAACCAACAACAACAACAGCAGCAGCAGCAACATCCAGCGCCAATCACCATCAACGGGAGGGATTTGAAAGAGGTTAATTCATTCACTTATCTAGGGAGCATTGTCTCAACTACAGGAGGAACGGAAGAGGATGTCAAATCGAGAATCGGGAAGGCGAGAAACACATTCATCAACCTGAAACCAATCTGGAAATCTTCGTCACTCAGCCTGCATCAACAACAACATTCGGATTTTCAATACAAACGTCAAGTCAGTTTTGCTATACGGATCAGAAACTTGGCGGGTCACAAAGAATATTTCCAACAGCCTGTTGCAGACCTTTACCAACAACTGTCTTCGCTCTATACTGAAGATCAGATGGCCGGAAAGAATCACAAACAAGAAACTATGGGAACAAACAAAACAAGAACCAATCGCCCAACAAATATGCAGGAGAAAGTGGAGATGGATTGGACACTCACTGAGGAGGCCACTGGGTGACATCGCACGTCAGGCCAACGCTCGAGTGGAACCCGAAAAGGAAGCGGCGAGTGGGACGTCCAAGGGTGACATGGAGGTGATCGTGTGAAGAGGAGTTGAAACAGTATGGATTAACATGGATGCAGGTGAAGAGTACAGCAGAAGACAGAAGCAAGTGGAGGCGTGCAGTTGAAGCCCTATGTTCCACTAGGAACCCAAGGGAACAATAATAATAATAATGATAATTCAGGTAGTTTTACTAGCTAACTATTTATCATAAATAACTAAAAATATCCACAGGAGAATGGTTGTGACTACTTGATCGTTTATTGTGCGTCTTTCAAAGCTTCATCATCAGTGATCAGAGATAATGAAGTACTCACATAATTATGAGTGGAAAGTTGACAACTAAGAAGTATCTACTAAACAAAAATAATATTTTCAAAAATGCTCCTTCCATCCTTCCTTTTCTCTTGTTTTTCCCAGTAATATTAATCAAAATCATTTGTTTTTGCCAAAAAATGTTTTCACTCAAAACAGAGGTGTTCTCATGAGAAATAATGAGTACTCACTGTCTACTTTATTCTACTCACAGTTTATTTATCGAAGTGGATATACAATCTTCATAGTAAATTAGGTGTTACTCGTTCAAAATTCGTTTTCACAAATCTGACCGCATAAAGAAGTTAGTCACAAAAAGTTGTCTAACACATTATTATACAGTTAGATGAAGTTAACTAGAAAAAAATAATTAATACAGAAAGGACTGGAGAACACTACTCAAGATTATACTTACCAATTCATTATCATTGTCTATAGGATTATTCCATGTCTTTTGATCAGATGATTTCTTTGCTGGTGAACCACAATCATTAAATGTTAAATTGTCACTGTTATTATTATTACAATTATTGTCACCTGAACTAATCGTATTTGATTTAGCGTTAGAAGATGTCTGTCCTGTTACAGACGATGAAAGGGGATATTTGTTATAAGTTGAACAACGATCTGGACGTTTTAATCGATGAGGTTTAGATATTTTATACTCCATCCGATCTTTGGTAGAATTAACTTCAGTATTTATTTCACTGTTTATAGTGAAACTGGTATCAAATCCTTGGTGTTAACAGGAATAGTTGGAGAAGATTTTGAGTTTGTATCATCTGGTTTATTAATTTTTGTTGTAGACAATGTTTGTTGTTTGTAAGGAATTAACTTCGATAAGGTTATAAATTCAGGTAGACTGAACTCATTATCTGATTCAATATTTACAGGGGAATTATGATTATTATTATTGTTGTTGTTAGAAGTGTTAGGAGAAGAGTTAGAGATGGAAGCATTTTTTGTTGAATTAAAAGATGATTGAGTGGTTAATGAAGACCAATGGGATTTAGATAATAACTTCTTTGTAATTTCCTTAGAATTCGGAGATGATTCCGTGAATTTTACAAGTTTGTGTAGTGGAGCACCTAAAAGTTTTATCTGTGGAAAAGGGAAAGAAAATATTGGGAGTATCAGTTAAGATGATGACATCTCAATAATCATAAATGAGAAGAAAGTGATTAAGTATTACTGAATACTGAATAAAAACAAAATGAATGGGACGAACACTAATTCCATACTACTCAAAAATGTATCTAACTATAAACACTACTTAATCTTTAAGAAGGAATTTAATGAAACATTTCACATCGTTTTGAAAATATAATTCTGGTCATTTTTTCACTTCTTTTTGCATTCCGAGTGGACCATAGTGCTTTACTGCTTGAATTCCCAGTAGCAATGGAATCGAAGTTGCTAGCTGAACTCCCAACCTTCCCTATTTTATATGATTACTGCCGGCTACTAGACTAGACGAGGCATAGGATTGCGTCGGTAGGAAATCGAATCCGAACCTTCTGAGTGGCTGGTGAACATTTTACCACTGAACCACCGACGCACAGTGGTCATATACGCTGGTTCAAAATGAACTACCATTGCAATAAGTGTGTTTAATATATCCATTTACTTCAATCTTTATTGTTAAAATATTTGTCAATGCACTTAAAGAAACACCACGGTAATCTTTAGAAGCCTGAAACATTTTGGCCTACATAAATGACATTTAACTTCAAACTAGCTAAAACAAAACTATCAGGTAATGATGATCATTTGAAGGGTAGAAAGGAGGGAAATCCCACTTCGTGAAATAAAGAAAAGATAAAAAGATACAAATCTACAGCATTAATTTAAGAAATGTTTCTTCTAAACAGTTTTATGTATTTTCAAGCTTTTGTTGACTGGGATTCAATTGATTTCAAGGTGGATTTCGTCACAAACTAAAATCACATTTTTTTTATTACAGCTTGATGCCACACCGTATTTTCAGTACAAGTATGGCATTTTCAGCATGGATATGGGTAGCCCAAATTTTGCAGGCCGACCATAGATATCGGGTGTGCGTCGGCAGGGGATCGAAATCCCGGACCATGTGCATGGTCGGCGAGAGTCCTAACCACTGTGCCACCGACTCCGTAGAATAACAGACCAGTCATGGGGTGATAAAATAAATAGTCGTATTTGTGTGACAAACGTGCTAGGCTGAATTCAATCACAAAGTATTGTGAAATAGGAGACAATGGTGGTGATTATTCATAACAGATTTGTAGAATGTGGGGTAGGAAAAACTAATAAGTCGTTTCAAGGTTATAAAGGTGTCAGACGAGTGGCTATTACAAAGTGGTATGTATTAAAGAGGAGATAGTAAGACTGTAATGAGAGTTTCATCATGAAATAACCAATATGTGAAATGAAACAGTTCGAGGGATATATTGAGAAAAGAGATAATGTCACTAATAATAAGTCCGGATGGTATAAATGGAAAATTCAATAATATTGAGAAAATGTTTGAATGAAGGGTATAAATTATAATGAATAATAATAATTGTAATAATAGGCAAAGGAAAAAATCCAGGAGGAATAGGGGGAAGAGGCACTCTTGGCGAGAAGAAAAAACATTAATCCAAGTTTGGCCAAGATAGAAACGGCGTCTGAACGTGTTCATTTTGGATAAAAAGTTCCACTTTAGTCGACCTTATTGCAGCAGCTTCAGCGATGTGTAGGAGACGTAAACGAACTGTACGATGTCCAGAATCGACCAAGTGTGACAGAATCTATCTTTTCATACCTTTTATTTCCCCCTTGCTGAACCAAGCTGGTAAATGCTCTCAAACCCGTCGACGAACCTGCCTAATCGTACGCCCTATGCAACTTGAACTGCAGGAACAGTTGAAATGGTAAATGCATGAGGAAGAGCTAACGTTGGGTAAGACATCATTCATTTGCTGAGTGAATATTGAACGGCTGCTGAAGGATAGGAACAGATGTGCAGAGTAGGAAGTTTTCTTCATCGCTTTGGTGAAACATTGCAATAGGATCTCCGTAGGAGTATCTCCCCTGAACTGTAGAAGTAAGAATAAAAGCGTTTTCTTCACAGCTGCCAGTTCATGTTTATGATCATACTCACTTATGTTGGCTTTAATGGACTTCTCTGGATATCCGCTTATAATATCCCAGATCACCTGCAGTTCTTTCTCTACACGATCTTCCAAGCAAATAGACCTCGCTCTAAATTCTAAGCACTTGATCAGATTACCTTTGTATTTCATAAATACGAAGCTAAGGGAGTGTGTATACTGAGCTTTGCGTTCTGGCTTTCTCAATATGGTTCTTTTGACGGAACTATCCTCTCTTCTCGTTAGTAGGACGTTGAGGAAGTGCAGAGAGTCGTTGTATTCTCCTTCGTAGGTGAAATGGACCGCTGGGTGAGCATTAATGAAGTTGCTCAAAATCAAATCACTACGTAACCCCTCAATGTACACTACAAAATTGTCATCCATGTAACGACAACAAATATTATATTTTATAATTTTAAGAACCTGAAGAAAAAAATATTCTTCGTTCAGATTGACTTTTAAACCAATATCAGTTACGGAATCAACGAAAACCAGCAACCATTGGACAGCTTTTTCATCTCACTTTGAGACTGTTCAGCGGTATATACTCGAGACTTCACCAGGCGTTTAATGCAGGATCTTCAGCTTACTCGGCAAGTAACTTATCATTCAGCCACAATGTCAGAATCTAGTGACCCATGAACTCTAACTGCTATCAGTTCGCCGTATATGATCACCACTTTGCAGCGTAATAAATACGTATCTGTTCTGGTACCCGAAATGATGAACACCACAAATACAATATCCCATCACAACTCCAGGGAATCCTTCTAGTTCTTAGTCACTAATGAGCACTTGAATAATATTCGAGTACTGGTTTGTAAGGATTGGATTCCTTTCAAGTACTATATATGTTTCCTATAAAATCATTTTCCCTAAAAATATTCCCACAGCCATTGTTAAGTAGGACTCTGAAGTAACAGATTTAATCACGGTAAATAGCTGAAAAGTTTTATGGTTGTTGCAATCCTGTCAGAGTTGAATCCTATTCAACAGAATCTGAATCTTTTTCTCCTCCTAATTCACTCCCTAGTGGAAAGTTAAGGTTACTTTCCACACTAATCATCCCACTAGACCTAAATGCTTTACAAAATGATATTTATGACCACTGGATAAAGAGTTAACACAAAGAAAATTAAAACTGTCTTAGTATAAATTTCTGCCAAATAGTTAAACAAAGTAATCACTGGTGTTGTTTATACAACCTCTGCATTTTTATGTTCTTTGTGTTCTTAACAATGACTATAATATTTTTTACAAATTTAACGAATCCTGCTACTTTTTTGGAATAAATTCCAACGCAACTCTTGGCATTCTATTGTCAATTGTGCATTTCTTTCCGAAGGAATGTGGATCATAAATTTCAAAGAGATATATTTGTTTGGGTAGATAGATTTTTGAATTACACGAACATGCATTCAATAAGTAATGCATAATTTTGAATGTATGTACTAAAAAGGAAATATGATTTGAAAAGAACCAGTGAGAATAGAAACGATTTTCAGTGAATTTCCTCCGAAAGGAAATATCAATATTTTCACTATGTCTGTAAAAATAATTGCTTACTAATTCGCTTTACCTTCAGTTTAATTGTATGAAACTCGGAAGTTATGTTACATAACTGGTGGTTCTAAAACCCAAAGGCACAGGCAGTACAGATGTGCCCTTTAGGTGTACAGTTCTACAGTCGAGAATGTTGTCACTGTGAAAATGGTAAGCAGCACTATAATTTCTTTCTGTTGCCTGGTTCTGCTTATACTCAGTCAGACTTGTAGTGTAGCTTACAAATACAACCTCAAATTGTGTTTTTGAAGGTCAACGAAAGCATGAATTCCATCGAGTTTATTAACACCTTTGTTATTCTCCACAAACGGGTGTAGATAAGTATAGGATCTAAGGATGCTTAATACTCTCTAATGCTAGATTTTTACAAATCACCACCTAATTATAAAATAAGCAAGTGTATGTTTTAGAATTAGCCAATACATAAGATATTCGACTTTAAAAGAAAGTTAGATGAGTAAATATCACCTACCCATGGCCATCCAACAGCATCAGCTAAAGCTGGTGTAGCATAAGCAATCCTCAATTCTTTAGAATCAATGAGCATTCCGTATACTGAACGACTATTTAAAGCCACACTGAGTTTGGTATGCAGTCCAAGATCTAAAATTGAACATATAAATATAATTATTACAAGGTAAAACTATAAACTGTTATACATTTAATGACAAGTACATGTAGTACCCCTATACCAACTATAAACACACGCATTTTAATCTAATTTGCATACTTATATTATACGTTAACAGAGACCGATTTTATATGTACTTCGTAAACATTTGTCAATTTACTGTTGAACATTACCTAGATACAATTTTAAAATATGACTACTGCTATAATACACGATTACACTCTTCACAAGTGCCTTCTGATTTTACGTTGCGGGCGTCGAGTAGCCACAACGTCTATGCACATCGATAAACGTGAAGAAGTGCTAGGAAATACGTGTACGCTAATTTAGTCAAATAGAGCACGCAACATACATACATATTTATTACAAAAGTACTTTATGATGGAAACTAATTTTTATCTCACTGCCGAATGATTATCAAAAAAAAAATTCAAATCAATTTACTTCGAAATAACAGAACTCTAGAATTACTTACATCTGTGAAGCTGAAATTAATAACCTTATTTCAGAGATCTGGAAACTTTCAAGGTAATGCTGTTGGTCAAAGTCTCTCTTCAAAGTATCTCTAATTCTCAGTGCTTAATCCACTGGGAATTAGGATCATTTAAAATTAAAATCCAACTTGTTATAAAAATAGAACAAGACCAATAGTTGATTTTAGAAATACCCAAGAGTTACGCAAGAGTTATCTAAATATTTAGAGTCAAAATACTATCCTGTCACAAATCGTTAAAGCTCTAGATTAACCGATAGAGATGAAATGAAAAAGTTAAACAGCTGTAAAGTAAAAAATAATGAGGAAATTTATTAATTAAAATATAACTAGTCTGTACAATGATACATTAATCACCATGATTCTAGAAGCAACTACTGATGTACCATTTTTGCTTGATAATGCATCTTATTCAGAAGACCTGATACAGTATTTTCTAGACGTTTTCACATTTGCATCACAAGATGTGAGAAAAAAGTTAGGGAGACAGTCAGATTGGATCTTTAACCTGGGAAGTGTTACACTGTTATACCTAAATTATACCACCAGTTGTCTTCACCCTTTGAAAGATGAAACGACTTGTTGTACACAACATGGAATGGTAAATTGAAGATGACTGTTATGTGAAGTGATTCTAAGTTCTTCTAAGATTCCAATCAACCATTTTTATAGTAACGGTTCAGTGTTTTATGAAAATGAACGAAGTTGTCTGCTTGAATTTCATTACCTACCCTATTTAGGTAGGTAGTTATCTCGGGTTCTAGTGGGAAGTCGTGACCAGTAGGGTTCAGCAGGTCGGGTATGAGGACAAATACTCGCCGAAGACATTGGCTAGTGGTCGTGCTATGTCGTGAATAGGCAGAATTTGGAATTCATGGGCCACTGGATAGGGTCCCAGTGGCTTAACGAGCTCGCCTTGTAACCAGAAGGTCCTGGGTTCGAATCCCAGTGGGTGCATACTGATGAAGAGTCCCAAACTAGGTCGAAACAGCTGTCCAGTACTCCCTGGTGGGTTTTCCAATGGTTCTCTGACGGATGTCAGCTCATGATGAGATTCTGTAACCAATTATGCAAATGTTTTTCACCAAACCAGATACCTACCTAGATTTTCTAAACACCGCTGTGTAAGGGGATCAAATAAATGATCATTATTCACATTTCTTAATAAACCACTTTATTGGACATTGGCCCGTACAACTCTGGTTACTGCCATTCTACTAATAAGACAGTCTGTTAACTAGATCTCTTTTAAACTTCAAAAAATAGAACTTACATGAAGACAGCTTGTTGAGTAGAAACAATGTATGTCCAGCAATACGAAGTACTCCGGTCTTTTCTAAGTTAATAGCTGAAGGTGTACTTGAAATCGTTGTAGGCGGTGTCACTAGGCTTGTTGATGCCGCTTCTGTTGTATTCAGTGTTGTTCCAGTAGAATTATTGGACTTCTTTTGTGAATTATTTTATTATTATTATTTACACCTGTTCCTAGTTCATTATTCTTTGATGAAGGTTGAGTAGTTCCACTAGCAGAATTGGATGAATTAGAATTCAAATGAACCAAACTTAACCCTAACACATAGGAAGATATCGGCAAAGCGTTTTGTATTAACATTAAACTTTGACCTTCACGATTTCGTCTTATTTGTGCAGCTAAACGTGAACGCTCTTTTCGTTGGTTTGCTCGTCTTTCGCTTAGCTCATCACCCATTGATTTTATTTGACTAGAAAATGGAGTTGTTGACAATGAAGGCAACATTGGTGAGACATTAGATTGTTTATTTCGATGTTGACGTTCTGTTTTCTTCTTCATAATATCTGTATAGTTAATTGTTATGATCAATGGAAAAGAGAGGGTTTTTTTGGTGTTATTTTGTTTTGGACAGTTTGGTTATGTACAAACAAAAAACAAATTTAATGCATATTCTTAAAAATGATGTAAAACTAGCAAGAATAATTACCAGCTGAGAGAATATGCGTGCAAACAATTCACTTATATGAAAGCTAACATTCTCTGTACTATGTAATATACTAGAAAGCAGCTAAATTATTTCCAGTAAACTAATCTAATCCCATTGGTATACTACGTATTTACACATTAATATATAGTTCAGTCAGATAGTCGTTATTTCCGAAGATGTTGTGTTACTGGAAATTATAATACCATATTCCATACACTATTATTACTAGTAGGGACAAATAAGGAGTTAAGAATAATGAAATTAGAATAATTTCGAATACTCATCAGGTACGGCGATGGTTCAGTTACAGACTGGTCGCCAGTTACTCAAGTGGTTCAGGGTTCGACTCCTTACAGACGCACTTAGCCCCACTCAGGTAGTAAGCTCAGTAAAGAGAGAAAGTTGACCGTTAGGCTAGCAGTCTCGACCCATTAAAAAACACTAGCCCTGCTGAAACTTCAAAACTCAGGCTTGGAACCCTGTGTTCCACTCGAGAAGAAAAAGAAAATAAAAACCAAGCTGAATATTCTCTGGTCACCGAATAATAAACGATATCGCGTTATCTAATGTTAAGAACTTGAAGTATTCTATTTTAATTTAGCCACTAATCTTTTTATTATTATTTTTATTTCATTCCTTTACGTTCCCGAAGGAAAATAAGGCTTCAAGCCAAAGCTTTGAAGTTTCAGTAGCAGTGGTATTTATTTTTACGGGATGGGGTTGCTAGCCTCGTGCCCAACCTTCTCTCAGTACCGGTCTTGTCACCGGCTTAGCGAGGTAAAGGAGTGCATTTGTCGGGGACCAAACCCCGAACCACATGCGTGGTCAGCGAGAATTCTACTGCTGTGCCACCGACGCACAGACACTAATCTAACTAAGAGGAAATTTTGAAGTTGTGAATGTGATTTACAGAAGAACATCAATAGATACGAACTTTCTTTGATATAGAACATATGCATGCTAAACACTTCTTGTAGTTCTGCTCAGTTAACCAAGTTACTTAATCAAGTAACATGATTTATATTATTATTTTTCTTTAATTCCTAGAGGAACATAGGCTTAAGTCGTGCGTCTCCATTGCGTTCGTATGGCTCCAATCTGCCCACATGCTTTCATCTCCTCTTCACATGACCTCCTCCAAGTCACCCTTGGACGACCAACTCGCCGCTTCCTTTTCGGGTTCCACTTGAGGGCTAGTCTAGTGATGTCACTTGATGGTTTCCTCAGAGTATGGCCAATCCACCTCCATTTCTTCCTGCCTATTTGTTTCACAATCGGTTCCTGCTGTGTTGGTTCGCTCCCAGAGATCTCTGTTGCTGATCTTTTTAAACGCATGATCTTAATGAGATCCAAATCAGTTTTTCTCAGCATTATAGACAGAAATCAAGTAGTGCTCTAGATGGCCTTGTTATATCATGTTAAATTTCTGTCGGTAAATACCAGTAGGCTTGGTATTTAGGCTTACAGCTTGTTGTTCATTAATTTTTAACGTTTACTAATAAGTACAGTGCACTAGGAGTTCTTTTCACAAGCTAGCCGTTATACTTGACTTCTGGATCAGTTAACATTACTAAGCATTGATAACTGTACTTTTGATTGGATACTAGTTAGTAACTAGTGTAGTGTGTCTAGTCCTTTGTTTGGTGCAGACTGAATTCTGTCAGTCATGTTAGCAATTCGGCCACCATGCTAGGTGGCTCAACATCACTGTGCATTTTGAACTGTTCGTATTAGATGGTTGGAGGCAATCGGCCACAGGAAGCCTTGCTCAACCTAGGTTCCGTGCTAGTTGGCACTCACCAGTCAGCAAGGCGTACCTGCAACCTTGAAGGAACTCATGTCCTTTCTGAGATCTAAACCTGCTTCACCCATTCCCTTCTGAGATTCGAACCTGCGTCCCCAAGTGCTGCAGTCAGAGACATGAGTTCCTTCAAGTTTGCAGATACGCCTTGCTGACTGTTGAGTGCCAACTAGCACGAAACCTAGGTGGAAGGCTTCCTGTGGCCGATTGCCTCCAACCATCTAATATCGTTGATAACTGTATTATTTTTGAATTGTAATTTGATATACTTGGCTGAAATCTATGCACAGAGGACAGAATTGAAGTGATACATGAATGCAAAATAGTGTAACCATCTGAATGTATATCACAAATATTCATGACTAGCATCACAATTAAACTTAACTGCACAGATTGTGCAAAATGTGAAAATATGTGTCAAGAGTAAACAACACACTGTCAAAGAGTAAAAGGATATTTTTATTTGTCAGTATCATGTATCCTAAATGATGTGTAGGAATGTGTGAATAACATCCTTCTCATTTATTTGCTATGAGTGTTTGTCAGATAAGTGAAAAGTCATGTGTTCTGTTGATTTAAGGCCTGATTACAGAAAAAAAACATTTTTTTCACCTGGAAAGATTACAGACAAACACCTCGAACTGAAACCCTATCTACAACAATAATCTTGGAATTAAGTGTGAAATAACAGGGGAAACATTATTTCTCAACTCTTACTCTGTAGAGGTTTGACCAATTTCAAGGCAAATTTCGTCACTGGTCGTAAGGAACTTACTACGGGATGAACATCCTAGAGATTTAACTAGAAGTTGCGACCAGTAGAATCTACCCTTTCAAGAGTGTTGACAGATAATCACCTATATGTTGCACAAACTAGCAGAATTTAGGATTCACGAGTCATTGAGTCTCGACCCGGTGACTGAATGTTCCATGGGCTCACCTACTAACCTGAAATTACTGACTTAAATCCCTGATATAGCTGCGAGTGCCTACTGTCAAAAAATTCTAAACTTGGAAGAAAGAGATGTCAGGTACTCCCTAACTTTCAATGGTCCTCTAACTGTTATCGGTTCGTCACCAAAAGCTAGTTAAATTGTTCCTATATGCTGGTCATAATCATAGTGTCGAAAAGGGTGAATTAGGTCATCACTAGACTGAGTAAAGTTGTTTACTTATTTGTGTGTTATTGTGAATTAGTTTAATTTCATTCATATCACACTTATGAGTAACTCATTAGTCATGTCTCTGACAGCTGTACTAGTTGAGCCATGTGAATAGCTTTCATTAGAATTCTTTTCTGTTGTGTCTCTCTACTGAATTTTTATGTCATTAACAGCTGCAGACTTTTAAAGATCAACATGAGTTCCTTATTTAACCTGCTTGTCAACTATAACAACTCCTATTGTTCTAAAGCGTGTCACCTCGTCTTTTTGCCCTCATTTTTTATTTCAAAACTAAACACATGAACAAACTTTTCACAGCAATCGTTACAGAGAGTGGTCTATTTAATCAACACTTTCCAGTCAACCAACTGTCAACTGTAGATAAAAGCAATCTGTTTTGAACATCTAAATCTTCTTCAATTTGGACATTTACAAGTGTTTACGTCTTAATAACATAAATAATTTAGAAAAACTCATACAAATTTGCTTTCTTAACAAACAAACTTATATTGATCTAAACACAAAGCGGCTCTTGATACTGTTATCAACGGCAAAACTTTACAAGCGATGGGAAATTTTCTCTTAAATGACTTAAACTGGTAAAATAGAATGAACTGGAGGTACTTTATTTTTCAACTCGCTGAATGTTAACTTTCTCTGGGGAATGAATAACCAGTCTAATGTTTCTAGTCTCTTATGCTGGTGTTGACTGCAGCTTTGGTTGATGAGAGTTCGAATCTCTACTAGTGGGGGAGGCATCAGTTCCTTCAAGGTGGCAGATACGTCTTACTGACAAGTGCTGACAAGCATGAAACCTAGGTTCAAGACATCCTGACGATTGCCTTAAATCATCTAACACCAATTAGTCATATATATTTATACACTTGTCACGATATGTTAACTTGAATGTCTGACAAACTACAAGACAGAACATGAATTTCTTCTCCCAGAAGTCGTTTTTATCATGTATGTCAGCATCAACTGCATAACTACTGAAGCCTAGAATTTTGGTCAAAAAAGATAACCTGAAATCAAAGTGATATTCTTCGAGATTGATCTCCTCTATTTAGTTAATGAATATTTCTCACCTCTGTCTAAAGCTAAAAATAATCGAAGTATATCATTTCGCTATTTCCTTTAACAAACCCAAGAAATAATATTTGCGTTGAGGCTGTGTAGAACAGTTATGAGGTGAATTTTAAAAATGTAAACTGTCATTCATATGAACTGTGATCAAGATTTGACCGGATAGTTGCAAAATAATTGAGCGCTGAGTGAGAAGTAGACATTTATAAAATTATATTTGTAATATCTCAGCGAAATTGAAATGATTAATTCCAACGTTTCGTTCGGTAATCTGGTCCGAACTTCTTCAGGGAAATTAATCAAAATTAACATAACAGAGGTTTATATATAAAAGGAACAACTCATGTTTTTAAACTTTGTCCAATCATGAGTCATGCAACAGGCATCAACAAGAGATGTACTTTTATATATAAACATACAATTTTATTTATTTATTATACATGTTGATGCCTGTTGCATGACTCATGATTGGACAAAGTTTAAAAACAAGAGTTGTTCCTTTTATATATAAACCTCTGTTATGTTAATTTTGATTAATTTCCCTGAAGAAGTTCGGACCAGATTGCCGAACGAAACGTTGGAATTAATCATTTCAATTTCGCTGAGATTTTACAAATATAATTTTATAAACTGTCATTCTTCAGTGTATAAATAATTAAGTTATTCAAACAATAACATAAAAGAATAAGATTCTTACTTGCTCGACATGATATTTGTACAGGTGAAGTGTATTGATTAGTGTTTTTACGAGTATCAGTATACTGCCACTGTGAGTTACTGTTACTCATAATATTATTATTGTTATTATATTTACTATTATCATCGTTAGCATTTGTAGACCCATTTTTGTTCATACACATACTGAGATCAGACTTTAAAGAGGGACTAAGTGTTGAACAGGATGAAAAAGACGAATCGTAAGGATAATTTGCAAAGTAAGGGACATTGGAAAATTTCACTGCATTTGGATTCGAATCCCCTGGTGTATAACTAGAAAAAAAGATTGAAAATTAAAACATATTTAGTAAATTTAAATTTAGTGAACAAGCAAATAAATTAACTATAATAAAAGAAGTAATGAAATTTGATTGTCTTTCCTAATTTGTTTCTAAGTGGCTAGTAGTGGAATCCTGGACGCACGCTTTGTCCTCTCCGGGACCTAACATCTGGATGAACATGCATCCTACTAAATCGTGATGTTCCAACCCAAACTCAAACTCATCGCCCACCGTGCTGTGTGTTACTGACGATCAATTGCAAGTGAAATCTTCCTCGGGAAAGGTGAATAGCATTGCCATGGACTAGACTGAAGAGGGAAGAAATCAAAATCATAGCGAAACAATATGGAGAGCATAAAATGAGGACAAGGGAAACAAAATACCATTAGCTTTTGCTTGAACATACTGGTTAAAAGTACGAGACAGTTAATGAGCCTGACAATCACACTGGTGATCAAGGAAGGCAGCAAATATCAAAGAACTGTGAAGGCGGGCATTAGCAATTCGAATAAGGGTGAAGCAAGATTATTTATTTGACAGAAATGATGAACAAGGATAGAGAAATACAATAAATAATCTTATATTGAAATTTCAGTTTGGAAAAGTTAGTGGTATTCTGCTTTTTTATCTTCATTGAATGCTTTCTAGATTATTTCACAATGATTTTCATTTTCCTCTTTCCAACTTAATCCATGGTTACACTATTCAAGAATCTATACTGTCCACAAATTCTTATCGTTAGCACATACCACACCACTATTTCAAACTCCAAAGAATTATCTACTAGGTTAATGAGCCACATATCAGACACCGAGCACTTCGGCTCAGTAAAATCAATCAACGTAAAATTCGAAATAATTTCAACCAGTAACTGGAGTATCTTTCATAGCAGAATAAATGTTTGGAAAGTCTCTCCTGAACGATCTAATTATAATATTGATACTTATATGGATGTTTTAACTAACTCTGTAATTATTATCTTTTTTCTCTTCTAGAATGTAGAACACAATGCTGACGAATTACTGTTCTGAGAGTTCGAATCTCAGAAGGGACATGAATTCCTTCAAGGTTGCACATACTCCTTGTTAACTGGTGAGTGCCAACTAGCACGGAACCTAGGTCGATGTCTCCAACCATCTAATACGAACAGTTCAAAGTGCACAGTGATGGCGAGCCACCTAGCATGGTGGCCAAATTGCTAGCTTGACTGATAGAATTCAGTCTGCACCAAACAAAGGACTAGACACATTACACTAGTTTGCATATCATCCGTTGAATTAATCCTCTATTATTTGTCTTTTTTCCTTTTTATTCTCTAATTTTAAGTCTTCTCTTTGTGGTTGTGTGATCTTATTGAAAATGTGCTGTTTTACGACTGTCATTTTATTTGAGTGAGTGTAAGTGACTTTGACCCTCGACTGTCATTCTTGCTGACAGAGTTTTGACTCCATCTTGTTGGGAATACTCCTCTTGATTATCACTACTTGTTTTTTAGTGGAGAAACTATTGAATCTGTATAGGTACCTAACGCTATTGTTGAATATCACAGATTTTATCGCAAATAACTGTCTTTTCACTGTCGTTGAGGCATTTTGTGACTATGAGTAACCCAAGGAAGTTTCAGTCAGCTATATAGCAGAGTTCAAAGATGGGTTTCCTGAGTTCAGACCATAGCACGCGAGTTTTAGTAGCTACACCTTTCGACACACTAGATCATTTTGTTGTGAAATCATAAAGTATTATGCAAGTTATAATTTTAAGATGTTTCCCGACTACAGTTATATACTAGTGAGGTTGCCATTACAAATTGGATATCATGAAGTTTTTCTAGCCAGTAACATATGCACACTAACAACCTAAATTCAGTAAACTGCAGAATATGCATATCAGAAACTAAACTCTACTGTGTTACTCCCACTTGCGAGGAACACTCAATTCACTAAGTCATTTTAACACACCTAATATTTTAATGGATAGCTCTTAGATATTTCCAAATCATTTTTTATACACTGTAAAGGTCATCTAAAGGTTTCCTAACAGCCAGTCGTTACTTAACTTCAAGGAGTATTTCAATCTTTCATTGAAGTATTTTAATCTACATTTTAGATAATTTCTAAAAATGATTTCCTACTTGAATACAATTTAAAGTTTATCACCAGTTTTATTCTTGGAATTGTGCAGTTCAATAAAGAATATTTAGGGCTTTTCATTTAAATGATACATTCTCTACATCTCCTGTGTCTTCTGAACACTTGAGAGCTTATTAGTACTCAAACTTTTAAAATGTGTGCTCCCATCGTGTATTATAAGCGCATTTGCATCAATCTGACTTTATTCGTAGAAATTCTTCATACTAAATGTCTCAATTAATTCTGACTTAATACAAGTTAAATATGACAAAATCTTAGGAAGAGGCGGTGAAATTGATATTCTTGGTGAATTCATGGGTCATTGGATTCAGATTCAATGCCTGTTGATTCTTTCTGCTGATAATCTGAAAGTCTAGAGTATGATTCTAAGTATGGTAGTGGATGCCTATCGCTAAAGAGTCATAAACTGGGACGAAACGGTTGTCTCTTCATGATGCAATCCATCTTAAAATAGATCAAATTCCTGCAAACAACACTTCAAAATTTTCTTTGGTATAAAGTATTCAAATCTTAATATTTAATTAGATTAAATCAGTTTGCCAAAGTTGGCTTCAAAGCTGACAAAATACACTCAATTACTTATGAAACACTTTTAAAAATGTATTCAGCGAGCAGTGTATCTTTTCTTCGGTGACTTTAATATCAACTTTTCTGGCCATATTTACGTTCACAAAAAAATCCACTTAATTGGTGGCAATGGTAACAAACCAACCAAAAACCTGTCACCCAACAAATATGCGGAAACAAATGGAGAGGGATTAAACCTACGCTGAGGAGACCGTTGAGTGACACCACGCGCCAGGTAATCCCTCGCGTGGGGTCCGAATGAAAAACGATGAGTCAGGCGTCCGGGGGTGACATGCTAGAGATCATTTGAAGAGGAGACGAAAACTTATGGGCAGTCGTGTGGCGAGTTAGAAAGGATTTCAGAGAACGGGGTAAAATAGAGATGTGCTGCTGAAGCCCTATGCTGCACTCGGAACCCAAAGAAATAATAAATTGACCGGTCAGTGTACATAAATAAATAGTTGGATTCGATAATGTATACGAATGGAATATAGATTATGTCCACTTGTATATATTTTTATCATTCTAAGTAATGTTGTATAATCGATCACATAAGGTGCTGCTGGCACATTATTCAGAGACAGTGCTGAATAATATCCAGTTTGGTTTTCTATTGGCTGATATAAGACAAAAAGTTATCTGACATCCTCCTAGAACTCCCCTAACAGAATATTTGCATACAGCCCTGTGCTAAATTCTGCACAGAATCCTAGATTAACTCTGTCGAGAAGTCCAGAATAAGAGGAAACTAAAGACTTATAGAATTATTTTTCCTTAAGAACTTACCTGACAACAACCCGCACCAAGAACACTTCCGACCCCTGTACCTACGATTGAAGGACGACTCTACTTCAAACTGTATCTACGAGTTCACCTGCAGTTGCAGTGACACTTATATAGGTAGAACCAATAGAATATTCCAATGTCGTCAAAAGACCATGTTCCAAAATAGTTATTAAGACACAGAAAATCCAAATATAATTAATCTGAATAGAAATCCATTATCATCCATAGCAAAGCATTTATTAATGTCAGATCACAAAATCAATATTAATGACTTTTTCACAATTATTTCACATAACTCTAATTTAATTTAAGATTTTCCCGTCGATTGATTGAACCGAAGTGCTCGGTCTCAGGTTGACATGTCAGCTTCTTGTGCAGATGCTTCGACGATGTCTGGGCATTTAATTAGAATTTAATTTGTGGATTAAATTAATATGACCCGTTGCACAAGAGGTGGCTCTCGTGGCCCAAGTGGTCTAGTGGGCGTTTGGAACTATGGGCACTGGGTTCGAGTCTCGGTGGGAACATCATCACTCACTGGGAAATGCAGGTACATCCAGATGACGAGTCCCAAATAGGACGAAATGCGCATCCTGGATTCCACTGCTAGTCACTATCCACAAATTAAACTCTAATTTAAGGTTATTAAACGTGATGGAAGCACTTTGGATTAATCACATACATCCTAAACTATGTGTACAAAAACGATAGACTTCAACCTTCACCTACCGTGGACTACTTGACCTATTTGAATGTGACTCTTCACCAGTATGTACTTTTGGTTTTACATAACTGAGTAATTGTCATGCATTTTATTTTATTATTGTGAACTATGCTAGTTGTGAAGCGATTGTACAGAAACTACGAAACTATGATATCATCTCGCGGAATTTTTCTTCTAAATGCCTTATTCATATGCCTTACATTTGTTAAAACCTTCCTGAAACTTAAAACTAACCGAAGGCTAGATCTGTTTAGTTTCTATTTATGAAGACTTCATTATGAGTGAATTAAAATACCTGTCATCTTTTAAGATGCGTCTCAACTATTTTCACACTACAATGCCACAAAGTTCATTTTATAAGTGTGTTACATGGAGCATAGCCATTTTAGTTCATCTTGGGGAATCATGAATTTATTTATAGACTACTAGGCATAGAACTTTACCTAGAACTTTAAATTACGTCCAATAGTCAGGAAACAGGCATAAAATGGACTCACACAAAAAACTTGGAGGATCTGGACTTCGCCGATGATATATGTCTGATTTCTCACAAACTGGAAGATATGCAAGTGAAAAGCAACAAGTTGGCAGAAGAAGCATCAAAGATAGGACTTCAGGTGAACATAGAGAAAACAGAGGTGATGAAGATTCCTGGGCAACAACAACAACAGCAACAACAACAATCAGCATAAATGGGAGGAACCTGAAAGAAACAACCTCCTTTACCTACTACCTGGGAAGCATCGTTTCAACTACAGGCGGGAC